GGTTAAACTATTGTAGATAAAACATGTTTTCGAATTTAAATCACAGGCATTGACGGTGTATTTTTTGGGTTCATGGAGGTATGAATCGGAAAAAACTGATGTGTAAACTGTATGAATCCGCACAGCTTACAAAAGTCGTTCAGTCAGTCCTTGAAAAACCTAGAAGTTCCAAAATTGTAAAAAATATTAGTTTCTAGTAATAGTTGATTGATAATCGGTGGGATGTAACGCAACGTTTTGTCAAACATCCATTCACTCGACGGGGCTTACTGCATATGGGTCTTCCGATGGCGTTTTGGCCTTTTTAAAGGTTACGACTTCTCCCTTAAAAAGGCATTTTAACCACATGGCTCATGTGTTCCTGTTCCAATACGTAGACCAAGAGTGATTCTATTATATCCACTTAAAAAAACATGAATATATATATTTTATTTGGTAACACATTTCCTGAAAATGACCTATGTGACATCACTTCAGCTGACCAATCTGTTGTCGGCTTGAAGATAACGTCCCCATATGTAAACTATCTCTACTGTACATTTAAATCATAATTCTGTTTAAATTAACGATCTTGTAACACGATAAATAAACATCTGATGATTAAGATAAGCGTGCAGCAATATATTCACATTACTTCTTGAGTATTAGAAATAAAAGCAACAAAACCCTTTCCATATTCATAAGAATTCTCGAGTCGATTGTACGATTCCGACAATAGTAATGATACCAGGTGTTCGCTAAAAGGTGAGAGTGATTCATATGCAAAGAGGAAACTAATGTGTGAATTTCATTGTCATATGGAGTTTGACCATTCGGCACTACATGTACAAGGGCTGGTAAACAAGTTCTAAGCCTAAGAAACAAAACCAACATTTGTGAAAGTGTTTTTAATTTTAGTTTTCGACATAATCTTTTCAATCCACTTCCATTATTGCTAGTGAAACTTTTCAATTCCAGTCAGGAAGCAGTTTCTGAAGCCACCCTGAAAAACCCATTCATGGCAATTTTGAGGTCTTTGTTGTCGCCATAGCACGTTCTACGAAGGTGTTCTTTAAGTTTAGGAAACGGGCAGAAATCACTTGGTGCCAAGTCTGGCGAGTAATGAGGGTGAGGAAGCTCTTCGAACCCACAATGTCGCACAGCAGCCTTTGCAAGTCGAGAGGTGTGAGAAGAGGCATTGTCATGAACAAGTAGAACTCCAGCAGTCAGCATTCCTCACCGCATTTCTTTGATAGAGTTTCTCAGGAGTACCGAGCAGTGCCGAAAAGAAAATCAGCATAGTTGGCAGCGACAATCGTCTTGTGACCTTTCAGGTAATCAACAAGGAACACTCCCTTTCATCCCAGAAAATACTGATCATACGTTTCTTCACTGATCTTGAGGACTTGAATTTCTTTGGTGTCGGAGAAGTGGAATGGTGCCATTCCATGCATTGACGCCTCAGGATCAAGTGGTAGACCATTTTTTCATCACCCCTTACTGAACTCTTTTTGAATTTGACGACACTCTCCTCAGTTAGCTCTGAATTGTCCTTGGCAATGCCAGGGTGTTTCCCTTTAGATCAGAATTTAGAAGCTTTGTCACGCAAGGAATAGATATCTAATTCAAATGTTAATGTTCATTAATAATAGTGTCAATGGATCCATGGCTTAGACCTGTGTCTTCTTCATGTTCAGCAATGGTAGTACGTCTATCTGACAGTATACACTTTTCTTTTTCCTTGATTGAATCTTTATTGATGGAAGTTGAAGTACGTCCAGATGGAAGTTGAAGTACATCAAGGCTTATTCTCTCAGCCTTTAACATAGCTACAAAACGTTAAACATTAAATAGCTAGGGCACCTATTCCCATACACTTGTGATATCCGGTCATGAATTTCTTGGAGAGTATTTCTCTCTAAAGTCAAAAACTTGATGACTGCTCGGTACTCGTTCTTTTCCATTTCTGTGTCCATTTGGACCCCTATCACGTTCAACAGGCTGTCACTGATATACAAACGGCCTCAACAGACCAAATACACTTGCAATGAACTATTCAAACAATGTACTACATTGACTAGTTCACGTTGTTATGGCCCACAGTTGAAAGTTAGTCAGGCTTAGAACATTTTGACCAGCGCTCTTTAAGCTCTGAATATATTGAATTGTTTATACCTTTGTTGTCGCGTGTCACATTTGCGCACACTTATAAGTTAATATAGTAATACATAAAGAAAAATGACAGCTTGGCCAATGCTTGTTGAAGTATCCAATGTTATACGTTTAGCTATTGCTGTATGCTTTGTGAGCAGGTAGAAGTAAGTAATCTCCAGCTGGATTTTTCAGAATGTTGTCACAGTAAGTTGTATTAAACGACTATAATTTATATTATTATTGTGTTAACTATATTGGTCTTCTGTAGAGTATATCCTTTTAAAATATGTGATAATACCCCCTTTCGAAAGCCAGTTTTCCATAGTGAACCAGATGGAGCTTTATTATTGAGAACCACAGGAGAGATGTGAAATTGTTTCTATATCATTTGAACAGCAGCTGTGTGAATCGTTTATGTATCTCATTTTTTTTAAATTTAAAAACTTTTGTTTGTTGTTTATTGTCGCTCTCAAGTGAGTGGCAAAAGAAACAAAGGCGAGTTTCTTTATTATGTTATGGAAAATTGAAAGAATTTAATTATTTAACCATCACTCATTCCTGTAACATGTTTTTCAAAAAGTCATCTGTTGGGTGGGAAATTTTTATGCGAAAATAAATTAGTTCAATGAAGTTTGGGGTGAGAAATGAATTTGCAACCCCATCACCTCTACAATTTTTAATGTTTTAAATTTGTGCCGAATAACGCAAATATCAAAGGTAAGAGATACCCATCAGCACATAAGTATGACGCGAATACTCAAAAAATAATTAAGTTTTAAATCGAATTATATTTTTCAAAATAAAACCAAGTGAAAGTATTCTTTGATTGCTGACCAAGTGCCAGTACAGTTCATTTTTCGGATACAATATGGCTAGGTAAAGATATTTTCAATTGATATCAAACATATCATAGAATAAACTGAGTGGAAGCATTTCTTTTGCTCAACGGTGTATATAATGACTGTCTGTACATATTCTATTCTAGACCAGACAGTCCAGTGACTGACATCATGAGCATCGCTCCACTCAAATCTGATACGATGACATGCAACAAATCAAGTTACGTTGCCTGACAACCCCATCCAGTTAGCCGCCTCTTACGATAAGCATGGGTTGTTCTGGACCTTACCCGGAGTGCTCCAAGTTTATATACTCGTGAATTGGCGAGTTATGGAGTGTTATTTTTATTAAAACCATTGTAATTTAAATGTTATCCTGGATATATGTGCACACTTTAGGGCATTGGTTGTGGCTCGACACCATAACCTATGGACAACGCTTGAAAGTAGTTAAAACACTTTCTTATTCAGGCATATCATCAATGTTCTTCAAAATAAGAAACGCACAAGTAGTGTGTAGTTCATTGAACCTAACGAAATAAAAAAATCCGGTATGTAAGTTGGATATATCTTATTGGAAAATGTTGAGGGGCCTGAAATGCATGTGCATGTTATGACATTCGTAACTCGTGATAGTGGTTATAAAAAGGCAAGCATGAGCCCAACATTTGTCATTCAATTGTAAATATTTCTCAAGTTAAAAAATGCCGAGACTCAGCGCTGCCGATCGGAACATCGCCATAGGACGTATCCAAAGAGAGGAATCGCAGTCTTCCGTTGCACGCCACTTCAACGTCCACCACAGAACCATTTGCCGCCTTTGAGACCGATACACACAGTTCAATTCCACTGCAGATCATCCGAGAACTGGCTGAACAAGAATTACCACTCCTGCACAAGATCGTTAGAGCCACAGAGACAGCAGGACGCATCCCTGGTTTGAGGAGGATATCAGACCAGACTGTCAGGAACCATCTTTGCGAGGCTGGAATCAGACCCAGAAGACCAGTCATCATCCCTGTTTTGCAACAGATCCATCGTTAGCGACGCTTGCGTTGGTGTCATACCCTATAGCCTTGGAATTTAAGAAACTGGAGACGAGTGTGGTTTAGCGTTGAATCACAATTGCTTCTTCACCGGCGAGATGGAAGACAATATGTTTATCGTCATCGAAATGAGGTTTTGCCCCATAATGTATACCTAAATTCGACAATTCGGTGGCGGTAGTGTCATGGTTTGGGGTTTCATATCCTACACCACGAGATCTGACATGGTTGTGGTTCACGGAAATATGACAACAAATCGCTACATCAATCAAATTCTACAACCTCACCTTCTTCCAGTCATTTACCGCCAGAGGGAGCTGTTTCAACAGGACAACGCTCCACCGCACACAGCTTGTGTCACTGTAGACTACCTTCATAATGCCAACATCAACCTTTTGCCCTGACCGTCAAGTTATCAAGATCTCAACCAAATCGAACACCTCTGGCTTGAACTCGATCGACGTGTACGTCAACGTGAGAACACGCAGAAGACACTTCCACAACTGACCAGCGCGTTGCAAGCAGAATGGCGTAGAATTTTGCAGGGCAGAATTTGTACACTTATCCAGTCAGTGCCGAGGAGATGTATAGCCATGATTTATTTACAATAAATTTACTTAAAATCTACCTGTGCGTTTCTATTCTTGAAGAGTGTAATACCAAGTCTGGCTGTTCGTAGAAAACTGGTTCCTTTATGCTCACCAACAATACACGTTCTGGATACTTTGCAAGATTTTGATTGTGGTGTGTAAAAATAATTGTGTTAGAGTCAGTGACTGTCACTGAGGTTTACAGATGCTATAACCTGTGCTACGCCATTGCTGGACATGGCAACCTGTGTAGATCCTAGTTAGAATAGGTCTTCAGCAACCCATGCTTGCTGTAAAAGGCGACTTGTGGTGATAGGTGACTAACGAGATCGGGCGGTCAGTCTTGCTAACTTGGTTGATGCATGTCGTCATATCCAAATTGCGTGGATCGATGTTCATGTAGTCAATCACTTGACTGTCTGGTCCAGACTTGAATTATTACAGACTGTTGTCATGTAGTACAACTAAAACTCTCTCTCTCTCACTAGATATGGAAAGCCATATATTTGTTTCTTTTGTGTCTGTTCATCGGGTTGTGGCCGGATTGTTTGAGCCAGTGTGTTTACAGCTTCGTCTTTTCCACGTCAGCTGCTGTCACCACCATCTGTACATCCCCACATGAGTTCACTTGGCCCCCCAGGGTGTCGGCGAGGGGTTTACCCCCCGTCTCCTTCAGGATCAGGGATAACACTCCACAGGCAGCCATGGTCGATCCAACAATGACGAAAGGCACCACGACATCACCATCTCCTCCCTGTGGACATAACGTTGTACATAATTAGCAAGTGAGGTTTCATTGGACTATTTACATCCACATCCCTCAACAGTTCATACAAAGGACACGCAAGAAACAGTACATTGTGTGTGCAAGTGTCGTTATGACGCATTATAGTGAAGCTGTAAGATATGTATTCGTTTCTTTAACATAATCCACAGCATTGGGAATTAAACGATACATTTAATGAACATTGATATGAAAAGTGTCCTGTGAATGTGTGTTTGTTTGGCAACGTGTATAGTCATACGCTAATAATATTCTTCCAATGTGTGAATGACCTGAACATTTGACATGGCCTTGACACATGGTAAGTATAAAAGAACGTGAAATTATTTTGTGTGGTATCGTGGATTAAAATCAATTATTCAATGCTTTACATGGTCTTTGTGACCTTGACCTTCATCGGATGTTATCGAGAGGCTTCTCAAATTAAGACCCTATCTTAGACAAGGAGAATAGTTAAAAAAGTAGATTATTTTGGATTGATTTAAACACATTTTGTTTACAATGAGATGTATAGAGCATAGGCAATAAACTCCACACCCCAAATATTTACATGATTAGCGTTATGCAATAACACAAGAGATACCCACTGAAGGCAGAGTCTATACAGAGACAAGCAGCAGGAACAGGGTCTCACATATACTTGAATCTATTAGTGTGCTTGATATACTTATTGACAGAGTGAAACAACTGTACATTTTCGTTGTAACTGCGATTGGACCAATACTGATACACCAGGGACTAGCTTGGTTTTACAAATATGAGATAACAAACATTATATTCCTTGCAGTTCTATAAAATGAACATTCTATTAAGTAGCGATAAACGTATTTACACGGGGAACTGGAGACAAAGTCATGACTTTCTATTAAACTATATCCATATCAGTCATAATTTATCTTAGGTTGGTAGGAGACAACATGTTTTGGGTTGACATGTTTGGTAGGAGTAGACTGCAGAGGAATTCTTTGTTGAAATGGCATCCTGACAATGCACGTTTGTATGTATCTTGTGTGGGTCAATATATTGCCGGTGCCCAAGTATGTTCATCACAACAAATATCAACGAAACACTTTCTCATGTCAAGTTTGCATCACAAGTTCGTCTTATGTTATGCCTACTTTCACATCTAACAATACCAACCTAAAAAACTATGAATCCTAACACAATGAACCTACCGTTGCAAAGATGTATGGAGCAAGTATTCCGCCAATGCGAGCCGCTGTATTAGCCGCACCATAACCCAAATTTCTGAAAAGAATAGATAAATCAAATACGTAAAAGCATCTATGCATCAAACTAATAAGCCGCTATCACGTACTCAAATTGTAATAATGGGGGAGATCCCACAATTCGATTTACCTTGTGACAGTCGGGTACGTCTCACTTGACAATAACTGAAGAACACACCAAGCAGCACCAACACCGAGTTTGGCCACCATAGCCAAGACGTTGATAATGATCCCTTGGTCATCTTTAGCGACTAGAACACATTAACGGAATTGACTTTATTGAACATGCAGTGAAAGAACGCAATGTGTACGGAAGACATGGTATTTATGGTGTTAGTACACTGCCATAGAACCGGAAACTGTGTATTCAGAAAGGTTATTAAAGTTGTGTCTATTATTTTCAATGTTTAATGAGAATAGTGGAATAGGAAACACTATTTGCGTTCCGTTTCGCTTAAATTGCGATCGCATTTAACAGTAGGACGTTAGTCTTTTTTAACATTTGGATCAGTTGAGTTTACAAAATACCGAAACGTTATGGTGGATTTAAATAGTACATAGCGAATTCTCTTGATCATTTCAAAAGACGATTAACCCAGCATCTTCTTGTCTTAGAAAGCTGAACCAACTCATCCGTCCTTTAGACTGTGCAGTCAAAGTTCGCTGAGGGTTCAGCTGATGCGACCTTCTATGGAGGTGCCATCAGATATACACGCTGAAATGTTTGGTATTGGAGTAAAAGTCTTGAGTATACACCTGTTCTAGCGACGATGCAAACACCAAAGGAACCGACAGTGGCTGCAGCAAAGAAAATGAAAGCCGTCCATCTTCTGCCAAATCTATAAACATTAACATAAACATAACTAAGTTATTCAATGAAGACAAAGGGATAAACATGTTCATCAAAACCGGATATAATCCGGTATCCCAATTATAAATCATGGTCTATGCAAAAATAACCGATGTCCATGGGTTTCTTTACAGTTGTGGACGTCTTTGCTATACATCACAGGGAGATGTCTTCTCACATAAAGTCAATTTGTCTGTATTATTTTAAACTTTCCATAGAGGCATTACATGTGTCTTTTACTCACTGTGTCGCTTCCATATGACATATACTTAAATTCATTACTCACTTTGTCGCTAAATACATAGGCATTATCTCTAATGGAATATTATTCTGTTTCATGCACATAGATCAATGCATAAAGATCCAGAGCACTCATAACACTCTCTACAAGATTGTATAACAATATGATGACTTCAACGTTCCAAAAGCCAACTTTTCCTTCATGTCGAGCAATATTCCTGCAGCTCGAAGCTTTCGTGTCTATATAACTTCAGGGGTACAATCGATCATGCTAGGCCACCAAGATTTCAAAAAGCGTCAGGTGACTCCAGCTCAAAAGTTCAAGACCTCAGTAAAGTAAAAAGTAATTATGGTAGACATTTCTAGATTTGACGCATCAATGACATAAATGATTTCAGATACAATTCCCTATTTCGATTTGCACCATATGTCCCCTTGTTTTTCAGGTAAACAATTGACTTGCCTTGACATGTGTTTGTGAAGGGTGCCAATTGTTAAGTGCCTCTTCGCAAACACCTGTTATCATTATTATTTGATAGTGATTCATAAACACATGCTTTTGATGTAGTCGGAATCATACAATCGACTCTGCTTTTGTTCGAGATTTCTTATAAATATGGAAAGACTTTGCCGCTTTTATTTGAACTCAAAAGAAAAATACAATATACAATATTGCGTACCTCTGGACAGAATGGTGAAAAAAGCATCGCTATATTATATAACTTTTGTTTGCAATATCAGTACTGGTTGTACATAACTCTGTTGTGAGGCTTATCCATAGTGTAAACTTGGACCTTTACGTTTCTCCAATGAATCTGGTAACAAAACTGATCCTTTACTTGGCACCTAAATTTGAACTGTTTGATATGCTTTGACTCATAAAATGTCATGTCATCGATCCCAATTGCGTGGATCGATGCTCATGATATTAATCACTGGATAGTACGGTCCAGACTCGATTATTACCAGACCGCCGTCATATAGCTGGATTATTACGGAGTGCGGCGTTAAACAACAACCATGCAACCAACCAATCATAAAGTGTCAATAATGAAACAAATATAACGAGGTGGACTTTGCACGCCACGCGTGTGACGTAGTTCCTTGTTGTTCAACGTCGAACTCCGCAATATGCCAGCTAAATGACAGCGTTATGCAAATAATGAAGTCATAGTTTTCGTGATAGATTTATCTTACTTGTTGTTCATGAAGAACGTCATCACAGTGGCTGGCACTTCCACCACTGCCAGAAGGAAGATGTTCAGATACAGGTTGCCTGCGAGTTTCCCTGCACCGAACGATATCCCATAGTACACCAGCGACATGCACATCCTGTAGGACAAAGTATTGTGTAATTTCCTTTATATAACCTCACCAACAAAACGACACCTGTTTGTCGATTCTTCAGAGATTAAATGCAGATCACAATCGGAAGAAAGGCATTCCCCCTCATTTTTGAGTAATTTTACACATCTGTGAACAATATTGCGCGCGTCAGCTTCTTACGAGAGGAAAATAGCCCTCATATTTGATGCCTATGGGTAAGGCGTGTCGAAGTTATTGGCGTTTTCCATATCTATCCCGTGTAAATAAACTGGTATAACATAGAACCGCTTGGGTATTTTGTACAACAATGTGTCACACCATGCCAAGTATTTGTAAATTTTGGCATCTTTTCTTCACTTAACACATGTATTCCGTTTCATCGCTCCATCTTCATATACCAAGGTACACAGAATAGTATCTACCCCCTCTCATACCCGATCCACTTCTGTACTCACCAGATGAACTGTATGATGAGAGACTTCCAGCAGATGCTCCAGCCCCTGTAGATGTCTAGGTACGTGTACCTGCTGCCAGACGCCCTCAGTTTCTGCTCCTCTTCTGCCACTTGTTTCAGCAACTGCAGTGTGTTGGTGGGCTTCTGTCTTTTGTTGTATCGACTCATCTGATCCACGACTTTCTCAGCTTCATCAGTCCGCCCTTTTACAGCCAACCAGCGCAGACTCTCTGGGACAAAGCTGGCAGTGTCGACGGAATTAAATCAGTAAAACTAAAAAATGGATGTTTAAACCATTACCTATACGTTCAAGATAATATTTTGAACGAATATGGTTGAGAATGGTAGAGTGAAAGCCTTCCTTTTCGAAAACAAGAAATTAAAATACCCAACCCTTAAGTCGTCTAACACCAAATGATGATGAACATGTTTGACATTAATAATGGAAACAATATATGAAGAAATATAAATTATATAGAAACAGCTCAACACTGATCAAAATTGTCACTACTTGTCTTGCGTTCATTGTTACAATGAGTCACACCTAAACACAACACATACTCATTTTGTGCACCTTAAACACGAGATATGGGCACATATTCCAAACCTAATTAGCAGTAGCAGATGACTATAAAATATAAGCCTTGAACATCGTGCTAGAAACATTTGGACGCTCAAGGGTGTTTCTCAGGTCAGTGCTGACACGTGTTGACGTCACTGAGATTAGGATTGGGTTACCAAGCCCGGGGTACTGTTGCACATGTCGATAGTCCCGGGGTCACAAAGGCAGGCAAGTATATTGTTGACCCCAACATGCGTAACAGGTTTCTTTAGTCATGTCAGTGTCGCCGGCAGCTTTATTTCTACATTTTTTTCCCACGTTTTCCGGCTGATGCTGGAGTGCAGTTCGGTGGCACTGCAGTAACATGCAATCTTTGGAGGAAGAAAATCACAATATATTTTCTGTGAAATTCTCAATTTTCAAGACTGTACAAGCAGGCGCGAGTTGGAAGGAGAAAGAAGTGTATGTGTGAGCTCAGAACACGGATATTCTTAATCCTCCACATTAAGACAACTGCTACTTTAAAGTTGATATAGAGGCAATTATCACAACTGGAGAAGGTGGCGCGGGTTGTACACCTGAACCACGACGTACTTCAAACTGAGAACAATCAGCTAAACCTGACACTGACAAATAAAAAAAATAAACTTGAAGATATGGAGTGTCGACACCGAAGGAACAATTTAATAGTCCATGGGTTAAGTAATAATAGCAGTGAATCATGAGCGTGATGCGTGTCTGATTAACTCTACTACTGTTTCCTTGGTGGCCATGTATTTGCCGTCCTTCTTCGACTTTTTTGCCAACTTCATCCATGAAATCAAAGGAATTCCTCCCTGGGCATTGATTGTCCAGTCTTTCCTCACTTGAGGACGTCAATAACTTTCTGTTTATATTCAGAGGACCACAAGACAGAACAATCAGATACATTGTCATCCATAATGGCATGTCTGAAATAACAGTTGTTTGTCCAGAACCTTTACTTATACATGTACTTAACTTATAATGGTAGTTGTAACAAGGATCGTCATCTCTCTTAACAAACTCTCTCAATTTGAGTAGATATAATTAACGTAATATTTTTATATATCAAAGATGAGGCTATTTGTGCCGCAATTGCAATAGTTTAACCTTTTGCAAATAATATGCCATCCGAATGTTTGAATAAATAAAAGAAAACATAACTAGTTGTCACAAAGCCTTTACTAATGTTTCGGTGATGATCAAAGGGAAACAGTGAATTAAGATGAAAGGTGGAGCTGTTTACGTTATCAAAACACATCTCAAAGATGGAGAAGCTAATTGTACCTAAATGTAATACTATGAACACCTTTTAAAAGGATCAGTTGTTTCATTTTTTTAGGTAAATTGATATCAAAACAATATACTGTGTGTCAAATATACATAACCCAACCAATGAAAGCAGGAAATATAATCATGTGAGTAGATATTTTTTCAGCAAAGATCATCATTCATTAATTTAAAAAAAAAGTAATAATGCTTTATTTGGTGCACATTAGAGTCTAAATTTGGCCAGGCCGTATTTTATTTGTGTTTTACAGTAGTTAAGAAACCATATAAAAAAATATTTTATGATTTAATGTTGATGCATCCATGTGTGAAAACAATTCAGTGAACAGATCTTTGGAAAAAAAATTCAGTGAATAGATCCCTATAAATGACTGTCCTTTTGACTTCTGTGAATATGATTTTAAAACTCACACACGTCACTGTCAATTACATGCATTGGGCAAGTTGTATTATAGTGATGAGAAATATAACTCCTATTGGCTGCTGTACTGATTAAATAGTCTTGTCTTGACAAACATTTTTTCTCCATTTTTCTCGGTTCTATAAGTGGCATAATCGAATTGGTTGTGTCTGTTATATGCAATTTTGGATTAGTCTTGGAGTATTCGCATATTTTACCTCGGCTCTACATGTGTCTGTGTGCTGACTGTGCTAAGAACAAGTCTGTGATTGGTCAGTTGGATACAGATTTCTGCATTTTTGAGCTAAGCTATCATGCAAACTGGAGGTGACTGCCAGGTTATATCGGCCCCCTATCTACTGAGAAAAGGCGAACACAAAGTACCCCATCAGATAGGTGCGGTTCCAGGATTCGGACACCATACATCATGATGTCATTATGAACCTGTCGAGGAGTGTGAGGTCACGGTACACAAATGGGATTAAACAGCGTGCTCTTTGTTGAGCGATATTCCAGCAGCACAAGCCTTTGGTGTACACATTTCGCAACATTTGAGATACAATCGAGCATTCTTTTTCGACCAAGGTTTCAAAGAGCATCACACGACTCTTGCTCAGAAGTTCTTTGATCCTTGTTCCAACATTCAAAGCCTTGGTAAAGCTTTATAGGGGTTTTGTGGTGGGCAATTGGAGGAAATTTGATGCATGAATGACGAAAAGGATGTTCGATGAAATTCCCCATTTTGACTTGTATCATATGTTCTCGTGTTTTACCCCTAGTTTACTTCACATGCGTGTGCTTTTGATGAGAGGCACCGGTAGGGCAGGATCCCTTTATCTTTAAGCGAACACCTTGTGTCATTACTTTGTGATAGGGATCCATGATGTATTCAGAGTCGTGGAATATAGGAGGAGATGTATCCCGTTTATTTGAACGAGGAACCGAATCCCCATTGGTGACTATTAGATGGTTACCTTAAACATATTTTGAATAATGCAGAACGTAAATGAGACTTTTTGGATTTTAACATTTGCAATCACCATATATCACCAATCACACTTTGAGTTCCAACTTTCTCAGGCTTAATTTCGGGATACCGGGATACTTACAACCATCCGGCGAAGAAGGGTAGATGAAGGGCAGCCGCTATGATGTGTTGATCAGACCAGTCAGGCCTCAACCAGCTCGACAGGGCAAATACACATACACCCGTTACCCAGACTGGCATTGCCGATGCAATTGGTCGCCATTTCCTTCCAATGAACTCCATGAAATACGGGTAGCTTACAACCAGAAGAGAGCCAATCGTCATCCCGATGAGAAAACGCAACGCTGTAAACATCTGCCAGTTGACGGAGAATGCTGCCACCAGATTGAACCCACTTTGAAGGACCAGGCTGATGAAGTAAGTCCACTTCCGACCGAGGACGTCAGCAGACTGTCCGCCAAACAGTGCCCCAAAGAACACTCCGGCCATTTGAACTGATGTGATAATGGACTTGAGAATATTCTGGTCACATATGAGATCCCACTGGAAAAAAAAGACATTTGATTTGTTATAATGTTGATGAGATAAGACGGCAGTTGATCAACTGAACCTAGGTAACGTATGGCTTTGTAGTATACATTACATAAACATAAGGTGTGAAGTTCATTTGATCATGCAGCTAGGCTCCAATAACAATCAAATACTAGTAGCCAATTCCCTTCCACTGATTTACACGTCTGAATAAGAAATAAAGGAGACCAGTGAGACCGCCTCATATGTTTCATATTTAGATCCTTGCATAAAGATACAGAACTTTTGAGATACAATCGAGCATGCTTCTTCGACCAAGATTTCAAAGAGCTCATACGACTCTTGCTCAGAAGTTCTTTGATCATGGTTAAAAACAAATGTTTTATGGTAGGCATGCGGACAACGTTTCCAAATTTTACGCATCAGTGCCAACAATGATGTCCTGTGCAATTCCCTATTTAGACTTGTACCATATTTTCCCATGGTTTTTTTTCAGGTGAACAATTGACTTGCCTTTGCATGTGTTTGTAACAGGTGCCAACGGTGGGGAAGGATACCCTCGCCTTTTCGCGATCACCTGGTATCATCACTATTTGATTGTGGTTCATAAACACACGCTCACGATAAGATCGGAATTGTACAATTCCTTTGCTATATTCAGATATATGTATTGCATATGGAAAGGGTTTTGTCGCTTTATTGGTATAGGCGGCTGTACGCCTGATTTGACGGCTAGCTCAAAAGGTGAGAGTTATATCAGACAAAACAAGCATTTTTGGTATGATACTCAATGGCTCGAAGATTATAAGTATGCAACTGTCATTAATGACGTCAGAGCGAACAATTGACCATTAGGTTACACATGTCGTGTATATCCTCCAAGTGCCTGGGATGCAAACACTGCCTGTTGTGATCGAAGTCGAACACGTCGATCTAGATCATCTACAAATATATCACTGGATAACACGATGAGTTATGTACAATATGTACTGTGTTATCACACTGGAATAGGGTACCCTGTTTCTATTCCTGTATGATCAACAAGACATAAATACTAAGTACTTCATCTCTGCACTAGAGTCTCTTTGTAACAGTTTCTCGTTTCACCCGATGACCCAACGCATTTTTCGATGTTAATGTCAGGAAGTGAATACACAGATGCAGTGTTCAAAGGTTTCTCCCTCGCCACACGGATGTGGGTTGCTCCCATCCCTATCATTCAGTGGCTCGCTACACGAGTGTGGGTTGCATCCATAAAATACATGTACGTGGCTCGCTACACGAGTGTGGGTTGCATCCATATCATACTATGGCTCTCTAAACAAGTGTGGGTTGCATCCATATCATACTATGGCTCGCTAAACAAGTGTGGGTTGCATCCATATCATACTATGGCTCGCTAAACAAGTGTGGGTTGCATCCATATCATACTATGGCTCGCTAAACAAGTGTGGGTTGCATCCATATCATACTATGGCTCGCTAAACAAGTGTGGGTTGCATCCATATCATACTATGGCTCGCTAAACAAGTGTGGGTTGCATCCATATCATACTATGGCTCGCTACACGAGTGTAGGTTGCATCAATATCATACTATGGCTCGCTACACGAGTGTGGGTTGCATCCATACAATACCATGGCTCGCTACACGAGTGTTGGTTGCATCCATAAAATACCATGGCTTGCTACACGAGTGTGGGTTGCATCAATATCATACTATGGCTCGCTACACGAGTGTGGGTTGCATCCATTTCATACTATGGCTCGCTACACGAGTGTAGGTTGCATCCATTTCATACTATGGCTCGCTACAAGAGTGTGGGTTGCATCCATTTCATACTATGGCTCGCTACACGAGTGTGGGTTGCATCCATTTCATACTATGGCTCGCTACACGAGTGTGGGTTGCATCTATAGCATACTGTTGCTCGCTACATAAGCCTGGGTTGCATCCATCTCATACTGTTGCTCGCTACATAAGCCTGGGTTGCATCCATCTCATACTGTTGCTCGCTACACGAGTGTGGGTTGCATCTATATCATACTGTGGCTCGCTACGTAAGTATGGCTTGTATCCATATCTTACCGAGGCTCGATTTATGACTGTGGGTTGCGTCCATATCATACTGTGGCTCGCTACATAAGCCTGGGTTGCATCCATATCATACTATGGCTCGCTACATAAGTGTGGGTTGCACCCATATCATACCATGACTCGCTGCACGAGTGTGGCTTACGTCCTTATCATACTGTGGCTCGCTACGTAAGTATGGCTTGTATCCATATCTTACCGAGGCTCGATTTATGAGTGTGTGTAACATCCATTTCATACTGTGGCTCGCTACGTAAGTATGGCTTGTATCCATATCTTACCGAGGCTCGCTTTATGAGTGTGGGTAACATCCATGTCATACTGTTGCTCGCTACACGAGTGTGGGTTGCGTCCATATCACACTATGATATTATACCGGGCTTGCTTCAAGAGTGCGGGGTGGATCTATAGTGTGGCTGACGTCCTTATCATACTGTGGCTCGCTAGACGAGTGTAGGTTGGATCAATATCATACTGTGGCTCGCTACATGAGTGTAGGTTGGATCCATATCATAGTGTGGCTCGCTACATAAGTGTGGGTTGGATCCATATCATAGTGTGGCTCGCTACACGGGTGAAGGTTAGATCCATATCATACTGTGGCTCGCTACTCGAGTGTAGGTTGGATCCATATCATACTATGGCTCGTTACATAAGTTTGGGTTGTGTACATATCATAGTATGGCTCGCTACATAAGTGTGGGTTGGATTCATATCATACTGTGGCTCGCTACACGAGTGTGGGTTGGATCCATATCATACTATGGCTCGTTACATAAGTTTGGGTTGTGTACATATCATAGTATGGCTCGCTACATAAGTGTAGGTTGGATCCATATCATACTATTGCTCGTTACATAAGTTTGGGTTGTGTACATATCATAGTATGGCCTGCTATACGAGTCTGGGTTGCACCCATCACTGTCATACTGTGGCTCGCTATGCAAGTCTGGGTTGCATCCACATCATACTATGGCTCGCTACCACACCTTAGATGTTACACGGTTGCAATAACTCAATTAAAAGGGACTGAATTAAGGCTACCTACCTCGCTGGCGACAGTGTTTTTATCCTGGCTGAACACAACCTGACAGGTGATGTTGTCCGAGGTGGGACACAATTTCAATGTGACGTTGTTCATGTAGTCGGTCTCATCAACAGAGGCCGCTGTAGCTGGGACACACCACCAATCTGGAGTAGTCCCCGCAAACGACATCATCAACATCCCCCACGCCATCAGCATCTTTGGACCGAATATGAAGACAACCATGAGGATCTGGAAGCGGGACATGCCCCCGACGGCCTCGATGATGTCGTCCGTGTGCATCCTTGTTATCGTAGCGTCTTCACTGTTTGCAAAGGAACAACGGGGTAGTCTTGTATTGATACAAACGGTACAGCACGATGTTAAGAGAGTTGGCAAACGTTACTGTGATCTTAAGGATCTATATATAACTGAACATGCTTGAGGTTTTGATGACATAAACATTTAACTGTGTACACAACAATCCAATTGTCAAGACAGACGAAGGTAGCTTGATATTGTTTTACTGCGTTGTTGTCTACGTCACGCTTTAAAATGTCTTTCCCTTTTAAATTGATATTCACATCTATTTTGGAAAGAAAATCATATTTCACGGTAACTTGTGTAAATATATCAAACGTCGACGCCAGAGAACTACCAGTCTCGAGTATCAGTGATGACACTAGGTTCGCGACAATGGAAAGTATGCCTAGCCCTACCAGTGGTACCCGTCACTCACACAATGTGCGTGAACACACAAGTGTATGTTTATAGGGCAGAACTCCTGCCATGGGACAGTGTCCTGTAAAATTCTATATACCGGTACACTTTAAATAGTTGGTAATATGTGAATCTAAATAGTCCCAATATCAAACACAAAAATTAGGGTCGCATAGAATTATCTTTTGTATATTTTCTTTATTAAGAGTCTGGCCTAGCGGTAGCTTTGATTAATGAAATAAGCTGCAGGTATTTTATAATACATGGACGGTTCAAACACAGCGTATGATAAACATGAGCGGGGTCTCTAAATAAGAACTATCTTAACTTGCAGACCTGGTCTAAATGTAAAACTAAAGTTATGAGTGAGCAATATTCCAGCAATATCATTCGGAAGGCAATATATGACCATGGACAGATGGAAGGGTTGTTTGACCTTTCCTCATTCAACCAGAATTGTTTAATATATTTTCGCAGTTATTTTATAAAGCATTATAAACAAACATTACTCACCTTTATACAATACAGGGCATAAACGTCCAGTTTGGTGAACAGTAAACATGCGATCTGTAAACAAAATGTCTTCTGTTTAGCAGTTTGCCCGGTTACAGCTATTAGGGGAAAAGGAGGGGAGAATGATTTTAGTAAATGTTGTTGATAACGGATAATTTCGGGGGGTTGGAGGTTGGAGGGGGGGGGGGGGGGGGGGGGGGGGGTCAGGAAGGGGCAAGGTAAGTAGTGGATCAAGCGATCCTTACTAAATCGTATCTAAAAACCGGGTTTTGTGTTGGACAACATAATGCATCGTAATCTCGTGTCTCTATGGCATACATACATTAAGGCTTATTTTACAACCCTCTTTCAACGATCTCACAACGTTTGAAATTGAACCCTATCTCATTTTAACGCAAATCTTTTAACGTACCCGGCAATATCAGCTGATAGCTGCGCTTTTAGCGTTCACCTACCTGCTGTCAGACCTGCTGCAGTGTGTGTGAGAAGGTCAGCGTGCCATGATAACAGCGATCTCCTCTCTTGTGTACTCCCCAGGCTCAGATGTCCTTTATATATGTACATGGCTTTAACAGTGTGTGCGTTGTGTCAACACGGTTCTATCCTCAGATTGTCCTGCCCTTTCTAGAAGTCGTATTAGGGGGGGAGGAGATGTTATTCGAGGGTGGACACCCACCCATGGCTGAGATTTTTAGATTTATAATGCAGATTAGATTAAAAAAATATGGGGCAAAATAAAACAATGCAACAATGTATTTTGTGGCAGGCGATCTAACCATCTTTCAACAGTTTGTAGCATGATGTTATTGTTTACCAGCATTTTCTGGGACATTTTATATTTTATGATACATTCCCAAGCCCACCCACCCCGAATAGGAAGTGGTCGGTTTGTTTTAAACATACTTCATTGGCAACGGGATTGGGCAAAAGTTATCCAACTTAGGTGGCCCTTTCCATAATGTATTTGTACAGACATTGATTATATTTATAGATCATTTTACTGCCACTACAATACTTATTTCTGTATGTGTCGTACGCCGTCCCAATGACGTCATACTATGTTAGAGTTCACTGTGACGTCAAAACAGCGTAACGGTATAACTGTACTCTTTAAAGTCACATGCGTGAAACCGGTTGAGTAAATTATACAGCTCATCTTTGGACTTTTGTATTTTATATATATATTCTGTCAGTTTCAAGCACGTCTAAAGCTCGTAGACGGCTCCGCGCGTTGCAGACGCCAGATCGCTAGTTCATACAGAACAACTGAATGAAATGAAGTAAATCACAACAGTAGGATCAGCAGAATCAATAAAATTGACGGAAATAACGGTCCACAGAGATTAATCGACCTTCCTTAAAAGTGTCAAAATCAAGAATTGCACCCAGCACACGTGTGTTGCACTGCTGCGTGTTGCACGTATAAACTATAGGATGTGTTTACTGTTACGTTTTACAGACAATACGTGCTTCCTCTGTTATATTTGTTTGTCGTCAACACCTATCTTTGTTCTAGTACTTGGTATCTGGCCAGGGGGCACGGGTGGCCCAGTCGTCAAAAGCGCCGCGATTCGCTGTGCAGAGTTGCGTCCCTTGGACACACCAGAAACCTGTGATTGTGGGTTCAAATCCCGGTTCGCCCCGATTATGTTTCTAGGGTTGGCAGCACCATACCTGTGCTCGTGGGTTTCTCCGAAGTGGTAAACGTCGGATACCTGCATCACTTTCCTCCCACATTAAGCTGACACGCCGTGATATAACTGGAATACTGTTAAAAGCAGCGTTAAACCCAACTCACTCACTCATTCATATCTGGCCAACATCAACATCTCGGTAATTCCTTTCAAAAATGCAGTGAAAATGTACGTGTATTGGTGTTACCATAACAATGTTCAGTAATGCTCAAAGAATATAGTACATTGACAACATACTGACCTCACAGACGAATCTCAGACTCATCCCGCTCCCTCATTGCATGATGGGTAATTACAACACACCAGTCAATTGACCTTAATGTTTTCCAAGTGCGGATTCCGGTTTAGAATGGATCCCCAGCAACCTATGCTGGTCGTCAGGGGCGAAATAATAGATCTAGTGATCAGAATTGGTGTCCCGACGACATGGATGGTTGATATCCATCACTGCACCATCTGACCCAGACTCGATTATGTACCGACTGTCATATAGCAGGGATATGTTTAAGTTTGAATTGGCCTGGTGAGCCACAGTGCCTTGGCGCTTTATTTTGTCGCTCTATTTGATGTAAAGCTACATCTCTACAGCATGACCGCAGGGCGTGAACGCGACGTGAGTACTTGCTCCGCAACTCGTACTTCACAAGTGTCAGGTTGCAAAATGGACACAGACAAAGACATGGTGAGAAGGTCATATAGACCCATGTATTGTTGGACGAGTACATATTTGTAGTTAAGATTTCTTATGATTATGTAAATGTTTTATGTCGTTATTTATGTAAAGTGTGTCTGTGTGAATATCGTGCTTGAACGACGTAACTGAAATTGTGCCCGAACATTGCTCTCATGTAAAGACTCACACTGTGTAGATATATGTGGCCAACATCTCGGAAACTGCTTTCATAAGTGCAGTGATAATGTACATGAATTGTTGTTACCATAGCAATGTTATTAAATGCGATGGTAATGTACAGTAATGTTCAAAGAATGTGGCACATTGACTGACCATCATACTGACCTCGCCGACCAATCGCAGACCCATCCAACTCCCTCATTGCATGATGGATAATCACAACACACAGCAGTCAACTCACCTTGATTTTTTTCCCAGTGGTGATTCCGGGTTAGAATTGATACCCAGCAACCTATGCCTGAACGTCAAGGGCGAAATAATGGATCGAGTGTTCAGGCTTGGTGACGTGGTTGGTGGCCTGTCATCGTGTCCCGACGACAAGGATGGTTGCTCATGATATCAACCACTGCATCATCTGGCCCAGACTCGATTATGTACCGACTGCCATATTGCAGGGATATTTTTGAGTGTGGCTTTAAACAACACACATTTTGAATTACCCTGGTGAACCACTGTGGCTTTGTGCTTTTTATCGCCTAGTTGATGTGATGTTGATGTGGAGCTTCATCTCCACGGCAGGCCCTGGGGGCGTATAAAGGTGTTGTCATTAATCTTGCCAGGTGAATGCGACGTGAGTCATATGCTTCGCAACTCGTACTTCACAAGGGACAGGCTGCATAATGTACACAGACAATGACATAGCGAGAAGATCACCTTGACCCATGTAATGTTGGACAAGTACATATTTTTAGTTAAGATTATGTAAATGTCTTATGTCGCTTTTATTTATGTAAAGTGTGTGTGTATAGTGTTAGAGTGCCCGAGCATAGTTCCCATGTAAAAACTCATACTGTGTAGATACATGCAGGGATACACATTGTGTACACACATGCAGGACGACACATTGTGTACAAACATGCATGACGACACACTGTGTACGTATACAGATGGTGACACCTTGTGTACATACATACAGGACGACACACTGTGTACTTACATACAAGACGACACACTGTGTACCTACTTACAGGACGACACATTGTGTACATACATACAGGACGACACACTGTGTACATACATGCAGGACGACACACTGTGTACTTACATACAAGACGACACACTGTGTACCTACTTACAGGACGACACATTGTGTACATACATACAGGACGACACACTGTGTACATACATACAGGACGACACACTGTGTACTTACATACAAGACGACACACTGTGTACCTACTTACAGGACGACACACTGTGTACATACATACAGGACGACACACTGTGTACATACATGCAGGACGACACACTGTGTACTTACATACAAGACGACACACTGTGTACATACTTACAGGACGACACATTGTGTACATACATACAGGACGACACACTGTGTACATACATGCAGGACGACACACTGTGTACATACATGCAGGACGACACACTGTGTACATACATACAGGACGACACATTGTGTACATACATACAGGACGACACACTGTGTACATACATGCAGGACGACACACTGTGTACTTACATGCAGGACGACACACTGTGTACATACATACAGGACGACACACTGTGTACATACGTACAAGACGACACACTGTGTACATACATACAGGACGACACATTTTGTACATACATACAAGACGACACACTGTGTACATACATACAGGACGACACATTGTGTACATACGTACAAGAGGACACACTGTGTACATACATACAGGACAACACACTGTGTACATACATACAGGACAACACACTGTGTACATACGTACAAGACGACACACTGTGTACATACATACAGGACGACACACTGTGTTCATACATACAGGACAACACATTGTGTACATACATACAGGACGACACACTGTGACACACTGTAGATACATACAGGACGACAGACTATGTAGAGGTATGCATGACGATACACAATCGTTCGGTAACAAATTCCAATCCCGAGTTTTGGTAGCTCAAGTGGTCCGTGCTTGGTGCAAGGGGCTAAGTCGTTCGTGCGATCTTCGTTCTAGAATACAGCGATCTCACACACTTCATTGTACATGATGTTGTGATAGTGTTCTTATATCTCATAGCTTGGTTGAATTAGACTAGGTCGAACGGTCCTACCTTCCTAGCTTGATGTGAGTGCATTCGATAATGTGTACAAGCAACATTGATAAATATCGAATGCACCCTGATATACTCACATCCATTTCACAGTTACAGGGTCTGATAGCGTACAGACTGTGTACGTCACATGCATCGTACAGTTACGATGTATGAATTATGAGGAAACACAAAGTGTCAAATATGAGCATACACCGCCAGACACAGGTTGTTCTGACAACATGTTGCCATGCTTCAGCTTTAATAATGCTCAATCATGCGAAACATTTCAATTCACGCAATTCAGTTTACAGACAATGCATGTCTTCCGGAAAAAAAACCCTGCTCTTTTGTGTTTAGAACGGTCGGCGATTTGCAAAGGCCATCAAGTTATGGCTATAACCCGTAACACGATGCTGGCATCATTAACGAATATGGAAATTTTAATAAATCCCTGGTGTGAGTCACATCGTGCTGTGCAGCACTGTGATGACCCGGTGCCACGGGCTACGATGAAGCACCAGTGAACATCATACCATGTAAGGGCTAAATGGCCTCACGGAAGTGGCTCAATGGACTTGATTGAACAATGAACATTCCATTGCAGAGACGTATGGAGCAATCATGCCACCAACTCGTGCTGCTGTATTAGCTATGTAAACAAAACCTTGAAAATACATTACCACAATTTTGGCAAATATTAAAGGCTGTTTGATAGCTGAACGTTATTGGTCGTCACGTCAAAGTCCAATTATGTACTTCGTGAATGTCGCCATTTAGGAGCCACATAAGATAGATACACCGTGTCCTGAATCACTATGTGTACGGTACCTTATGACAGTAGGGTACGTCTCACTTGACAGCAATCCGTAGGCACACCAAGCTGCACCAATACCGAGTTTGGTCACCAGAGCCAAGACGTTAATGATAATTCCTTGTTCCATCTTTTGAAACTGAAACATACGTACGGTATTTATTAATATGATTGAACAGCTGAATTCGAACATGCCCTCATATTTACGGTATTGATTAATGTGATAGCTTAGCTAAAACGAACGCCCCTTCACATACATGGTATGTATAAATGTGATAGCACAGCTTAATCGAGCACCCCTTCATATTCACTGTACTGATTAACAAATAACTTCATCTTCACAGGGGGCGGTCGGGTAGCCTAGTGGTTAAAGCGTTCGCTCGTCACGCCGAAGACCCGGGTTCCATTGCCGACATGGGTAAAATGTGTGAAGCCCATTTCTGGTGACCCCCGCCGTGATATTGCTGGAATATTGCTAAAAGCGGCGTAATACCTTACTCACTCACTCACTCACTCACTCATCTTCACAGTATTAATCATGTTGAGAGCACAGTTAAATTGAACACCACTTCAAATTCACGGTATTGACCCTGTTGATAAGAAAGATGAATCGGACACCATTTCATATAGAAAGTACGTCATGAATGATGTTACAAAATAAGGCGACGGTTAATAGTTCCAGTATGACGTCTACTGGAGTCAACAATGCACTGTGTAGGACTCAAAAGGTGATCTGCAGATCATTTTCTAAAACATATTTCACTGGCACATATCAATTTGTCATGCAGTTCAACTTATGGCATAAGGACGTACAAATGAACTTTACCGTTACAAATCAATACCAGAAGCGGCAACAGCAGAGAAACCAACCGCTGTCCATTTTCGACCAAATCTACAAACATAAGCAATGAGGTTGATGAGTGAACGAGTTCAAACGTAACGTCTTATCAACAATATCTCAAGCATAGGGATAAATGAGGTTAACCTAACAAACGGACATCATGTAAATATAGATAGATATATGAGCTGGATTCATTACAAAACATATAAGAATAGCCATACTGTATGGAAGTAATGTGAAACACAAAACCACCGGCAGCACTGTTTACACAACCTTTGTCGTACACAATTTAGAGCAGAAGCTGTTAGAAGGGGAGAGGACTGAAAAGAAACCCACATTCTTCTTTGAAATTGTGGATGTGTAGAGCAGGACATGCCTACCCTTTTCGCGGAACCTGATGTCATAACTGATTTTTAGTTATCTATTCATATAATTTCGCCATTACATTGCCTTTTACTCCCATTGTATCTCTTTCTTTGTCTAATCTAGATCAGGTATTCCCCGGCGTTGACGTTTTACATGTACACTAAGGGACAACTCACTGCTTCAGATAGATGCTGTCAAGAGTTTTGTCGAGAATAAACGTCGTAGTATAAACAATAAAGATGTTAAATTCCACATTTAATCTCAATAAAATGGTAGCTGATCGAACTATTAAAGTCCACTTGTTTCTTTCTCAACTCGACGGTGAAACCTTCTTCAAATGTAACAGATGCTGTCATCTTCAGTTATGAAGTTGTCAACATCTGGAAGCACAAGAGCGTATTACGGATAGAAGGTAACTGCATCTGGAGTTGAATTTGAGTAACATGAGAAAACAATATCTCTATTGTTTATTGCATGAATCAAACAGTTTTCATTGTTGATGTTTTGTCAGACATATACATGTACAATAGGAAATGAGTAACATTGCTTGACACATTTTGACCATTTTGACCCTAGGTATTGTCTCAACAAATTAACCTGTGATTCAAAGCGGCCTTGTCTACGAGCTGAATTTAATACTTATTCAACAACATGTGTCAAGGATATTGTCCTGGACCAGTCCCACGCTTTATGAAAACATCCAAATGTACCCACTGATCTCCCATTCACACAATATAAGATGTATCAACGAACGTCATTGTATCCTCGTTGGGGGAAATAGTTTTATCTTGTGATGATACCTGTGGGAATTCAGATTTGGGTGGGTGAGTGAGTTGGGTTTAACACCACTTTGAACAGTATTCCAGTTATATCACAGTGTGTCAGCTTGATGTGGAAGGAAAGCTTAAAGTGATGCAGGTCTCAGACGTTTACAACTTTCATGAAACCCAGGAGCAAGGACATTGTGCTGACAAGTGTGTAAATGAGCATGGTTTCACGCCGCTTTTCGCAATATTCCAGCAACATCACGTCGGGGGACACCAGAAATTGGTTTCACACATTGTACCCATGTCGGGAATCGAACCCGGGTCTTCAGCGTGACGAGCGAACGCTTTAACCACTAGGCTACCCGACCGCCCCCATTGTGCTGACAAACCTCTAAACATTATTAAAGCGATTCGAACCCACGATCATAAATTTCTGGCGCGTCCAGAGGACGCAAATTTGAAAGGGGATTTGCGGCGCCTTACACGACTGGCAACCCGTGTCCCCGAGTCAGGTTTAGATTACATTGCCAGCAACTTGTGTTTGTCTTACGAGGCGACACATTAAATCGGGTGGTCAGGCTCCTTGAATTGGTTAACAGGGTGGCATCGCACCCAACGGTGTGGACCAATGCCCATAATATCAGTCACTGAATCATCTAGGCCAGGATCGATGTACAGGCAATATAGCCGGAATAATATTATGTTATTGAATGGCTGTTACAG